CAGTGCACTTTAATTAAATCAATTCGAATCGGTGAATGCAAACAATTGAGCATTTTGCAAACTGGGATTTACATTCCAGATTGATTTCCTTGGCAGGTTGCAAAGGTGACTTTAATCCTATTTTGTGGTCAACAGCAATGAATTCCCCTCGCCACACATATTTTTCTATATGTAGAGATTCGCACTTGAGCCTGGCATTTAATTTAGCGTTGCTTAATTAGGAAAGTTTCGGAAAGACGACACCGAATCGGTGTTGAACAAGCGATAAATAGGGTCTCCGGGGAGGGGTGGTGGGTGAGTGGGTGGGGGGTGGAGGGGTGGATGGTAGAAGTGCGCAGACCTCGAGACACACGGGGTAAACTAAAGTTGTTGCCTGTCGCTTCTGGTTGTCACTTGTTAAACGCCTCGTTGTTGTTCTTGTTTATCCTGTGCACTGTTACGCTCGAAGGAGCGCAGGGGAAATCAGTATTAATTACTCGGACGTACACATGTTGGCCGTCTCTGAACCATAAATGGCTGAAGAGATTAACTAACACTAGTTGCTATAAATAAGCGTAATTCAGTCTATAAACATTGAAGGCAACAACATACCACATTAAAGAGCATTGTGGCAAGGGATAAGCTAGGATTTATAAGCTAAAAATATACTAAATCATTGAATTTATTTCAGTATCTGTCCTATTTTAATCTAAAATTGGTTAAAAATATCTTGTAAATTTGAAAACTTTATGCAATGTCATTATAATAATTCAAAGTAAAAAACTTTTTGCAATCAAAACCAGAAGCCCTTAAGTAATCATAAAATACAGCGCAATTGTAGTTAATCAGTGGGCTGTAAAACTTAAAAACTTAATAAATCACCCGAGAGTGCAACGTTTGGGGATGTGCAAGATGAACAGCCAGAGAATACAATAAATTAGCAAATCAACTTGGCAAAGTAAAGGATACAACACCGCCCTGATCCAAAGAACTCGGGAACTTTTTGTCGCCTAATGACCAAGTAAATCGCTCAGCTGAACTGAGCAGAAATGTGATGGATGCAGTGCATCTTCCCTGACTTTGGGAAATGTGCTCGAGCAAAAGCGGCAAACTTTGCCCTATTGACTCTTCTAATGCGATGGCAATCTGTGGGCGGCGAGTGGGTGGCCTTCTACAAATGAGGGATCTGGATCGAAATCAAAAGTTACTCCTTGCTTTTTCTCCTCGACTTGTCGACAATGCAACCACAGCCAGAATCCGAGTCCCGAAAAGCTAAAGTCGCAGCCACAAGCCGCAACGCGATGTCTATCAACATTTTAAGCTAATTAACGCACTGGGAAAGGCCAAAATAGGGCGGCTGTGTGGAAGGGGGCGTGGCCAAGTGGGAGAGGGAGTGGTTGGTGTGGCAGCCACATCAAATGTACGAAGCTATCTGCAGGCAGTCAAGGAAAATACAATTATTACTTGGCATGCGGCACAGCGCAACTAATTGACAAATGGATAATGCTCAATCCCTAAACGCCTACACTGGCAGAAAACTGTGTACCCTGTGTACTACTGCATCAACAAGTGCGCTGGGACTTTCCCAAGGCGAAACGAAATAAACCAGTCAAATGGAACACTGCAGCAATGCAGCTATGGAGCTAAGCAACCCTGCAATTGGGGTTCCCCTCGGTCTTTCTACCATCCCCCATGAATCACGGAGGACGAGGAGGCCATAATGGACTCCACACTGCCGGTGGGGAGGTGTGGAGTAATAGGAAATGCAGGAATTGGCCCCAAACTGGGCCGCACATGTGAGAGTCCATAGCGTATAGATAAAGCCGTCCGAGGGCAAGAAACTACTAAAATTGGAAAGTGGGCACGGGGAATATCTGCCAAATGGCATGTTCAAACAAAATTAAGCCCGCTGTTGTTCCTGTTGTTGTTGTTCGGCACGGGTCATCAAACCAAGTCGGGATTGCAACTGCAATGGGTACAGGGTGTTCCTGATAGATAAGCTGCAAAAGTTATATCCCGATAGCAAGGTGCATATTCTACTTACAGTGGCGTGCAAGTCTGAGTACATGTTTGCAACTATTGACTTTGGGCCCGCATAAAAAAGTTATTAGTAAAGTAAATGAATCCAAATTTTTTGTGTTTTTTCTTTTAATATTTGTATTTATACCAACTTACTTCACTCCAAATATAAAAAAAGAAGTCCAAGTTTCAATCCACCAATTTAATTTGAATGAATATGTTTAAGTGACTGTTGTAAATGAAATACTTAAGGCCAATTTTTTCTTTATTAATTTTGTGCCTCAGTAAAATCAACCCAAATATCAAGGAAGAAACTGGGACTCAAGGTCCTCTTTTTTTTCAAGCATGTCAATCTAAATGCGAGTTTTAAGTATTTCTCGGAAAATTACATTTTGACTGTGAAAGAACAAAAAAGCGAACCGCCATGGGCTGGCTTTACAGTGGGCCCTCATCAAGTGCCACCCGTTCACGTTCCACAAAGTATCCGGTGATAAGCTTTTCAATCATCATTTCATTTAAAGCAATTTCATTTGGCCGCCTCCTGTTCCCAGGGCCTCAGGCACCCTGTTTTGTTTTGTATTTTTGCGGGCCGAGGCAGTAAGGAAAATATTTTGCTGGCAAGTGAAGAAAAATTAGCAACAATAAATTGAACGGAAGTTGCTGCTCAAGTTGAAAGTACGAGCTGCGGGTATGGCACGAGCTGCAGGGGATTCCCCGGAATAGGAATTGGGAACCCCAGAAAGGGGGAGGGGGTGGATTCTCAGTCGGCGTGGGGCGTGGCATGTTTGTCTGTGGCTGCTACTGCGGCCATACGGTCAACATACACGTAAGCGAATGGCTACGTGCCACAGTGTCGCTGTGCCCCCGCCCCCTCCCCCTGCCCCTTCCTTAGCCTCTGACTTCCTTCTGTCTAGATAGAAATACCAGACCTTAGCCAAGAGGGGGCGTGGCACGCCCAGTGTGCACAGGGGGAAAAACTGGCAGCCTGAAATCGTTGCTTGAAATACAAAAAAATTAATAGCATGTACGCCTAATACACAAAATCGGGGTCACCAAACTCTAACTTCGGCACAGCATAACCTGGTTAAATTTAGTTGGATTATAAAAGGTTCTAGCATAATCTGCAATTAAAAATTGGCCCTGACATTTGTTTATATTTTATAGATTTAAATGGGAAAAGTGTTTTAAAGTAAAATATTTATACTAATTCAAACTTTAGTGCTTTCTTGTTCCAAAAAACATTATTACAAACAAATTTTTATATAATTTGGTTCTCCCTAAAAACAAATGTAGTACACATTAATATTTGATGTGGCATAAGTTCTTATTACTTCTTCGCTGTGGTTAGTTTCTCTACCTGTAAGGACATTTGGGCATGTGGCGGCAGAGTATTTAAGCTCAGGCCGCAACTCGAAGGACGAAATCGGGACAGACGTTGCATACAGATTTTCAATTTCCATATCGTGTGGCCCGTCTGCAGCCTGCAGCTCTTGTTTTCATTGCTTTCCACCCAGCTTTTCCTTTGGGCAATTTCCGCTGCAAGTGCTGAAACAAAGGAAAACAAAACATAACATAGCAGCGGGAAAACTAAACGTAACTACAACAACCGCAATAACAAGAAACAAAACAATGAGCGAACAATGAAACGACGAATGAATGAATGAATCGAGTTGAGTTGAGTTGAGTTGAGTGACTGAGGAGCAGGCGGCAAATGTGTCACTTGAAAAGTGCAAATTGAAACCATGCAAAAAACTCAAGATTTTGATGGAAACATTTTTGGCTTTGGGCTTTTTTAATTGCGGGTGGCAAACAAATTACTTGAGTTTTGAAATCACTTAAAAACGTTTCCAAAAGTATTTACTTTATCGGACTTCCGGGTTAAGAATATATTTTTTGTACACTTTTGACACCCTTTTAAATGATTTCAAAAACCTATTATTTATTTATTTTTTTAAAATGTATTCTGTTCATCCCGAAACAGCAAGCATTTGCTTTGGAAACCAATCAGTTTACCCATGACAAATCAGTTAGTTTATAAAGTGTAAGCATTTGACACACACGTATCTCATTTAGTTAAAGAAAAAGTAAAATAAGCATAATTTTTGTGCGAGAAATTCCTGTGAACTACAACGATGTCCGATTGCATCCAAAGACTGGGTGGCCTGGTGCTGCAGATCCTCCGGGTGGCCGAAACTCCACTGAGTGCCCCTCAAATAGCCCGTGCCATTTCGCTGAAGTTGGGCGTGCGTATTACAAAGAAGCACATCATGTCGCTCTTGATCGATGGCGTTCAGTGGGGCTACTTGAGCAGAGATGACGGCCTCTACGCACTGCCCGAAGATCCTTGCAAGGATATCATGCCGGATAGCAGCTGCAGTTCGCTTTTCGTGGATATCGCCTCCACTGCGGAGAATTCCTGTAGTGAAGATGACAGCACCCCAGAGGATGGTGTCGCCAATGGTGGCAATTGCAGTGTAGATGAACGTGCCGCGGGGGCACTTGTCAAGTATGAAGGTGACGCCGCCAAGATGGACACCAATGAGAAGTGCTCCTGGCCAGAGGCTGCTCGGTGGGCATCCGAAAACATGATACATGGCGCGATGGAGTTTTTCAGTATGTCGTCGAATGACGAAGCCATCGAGCTGAAGATTATGCGCATGTACTTCCGGAAGAAGAGCAGTGAGCCGCAAACGCCGGATGTTGTTGAGTCCGCCGGGAGTTTTCCCCTCCTGAAAAAGCCCGCCCATACAAACTTAAGAGCCACTTAGTCTCGATTCTTAGTCTTGTATTCTGGCTTTAGAGCAAGACCATCGAATCGCATTGCCACTTTGTTTAAATTCTATAATTGCAAGACTTGACCCTTGGATTAACAAATTTTGATTTATGTATTGTGGAAGTCATTAAAATTGTTGAAACTAGTGTATATTGTAATACTAAAACTGTACATCACCTGGGGGCAAATGTGTCTGACTAAAAGAGCTCTCTGGGATCTTTCATTGCAGGTGGTGACGATGTCGCCTGCTGAGCAGCTAGGTCGCTTGGTCGCAGGATCGGATGCCTACCAGCTGGCGGCGAGCACTGGAGGAGGTGGAGGTGGTGCGGGGGGCGCAGGAGGAGGCGGAGGTGGAGTCGGAGGCGGAGGCGGTGGCGCAGGCGGCGATGATGCGGGCGGCGGTGGCGAAAAGTTGAAGGACATGCCCGACAAGTACGTGATGGCGATCGCCCACTTCCTCGACTGGCACGTCAACGAGACGGTGGACATGGAGCGGCTGAGCGGACCGATCCTCAAGTCGAGCATCAAGTCGGTCTACTGGCTGTTCCTCATCCAGTACGCCGCCCTCGCCCTCCTCGGCGTGGTGCTGAACGTGATCATCGTGGTGTACCTCATGTACCACCGACTCTACAAGGATGTGACCCACGCGTTCATCATCAACCTGGCGCTGTGCCACTTCGTCCAGTGCGCCCTCGTCCTGCCCGTCTCCCTGATGGTCATGCTCATCCAGAACTGGATCTTCGGCCAGTTCCTGTGCTTCTTTCTGCCCATGCTGCAGGTAAGTGGGGTTGGCTTTTATTATTAATTATTAATTTTTCTGATCCTGCAACTAGGACACTTTATTTGTATTAATGTATTCAACTAGCTCTGGGTATAGTAGTCTCAAGATCTTACCTTTCAAAATGTTAGTGCTTAAAACTTTTAAAACAGAGATCGCTCTAAAAGCTGAGATTTTCGAATTGCAAAATTTATACAACTTTAAGGGTCCACAAAAAAAGAGTAGTTGATAAGTCTTTACCTTATCTTAGCCATTAAATTCAGCAAGGCCAGACTATATTTCATAGCAATCACTGTTAACTACAGCTCTGAGCTTATTTATCCCATTTGGCTGTGTGGAGAAGATGGCATCCGGCCTCGCTCGATTGAGCATCGCCTGCTGGTGTCCTTTCTGTTCCTGCGTCCTGGCTGCCCCGCCTCATTATGAAAGCCACCGTGTGATTGACACATATTTGGGGGAATGGGGACGAGGGACGATGCTTTTGGAGTCGGAAATCACAAGCAAATAGAATCGTATACATTCATTCGATTTGATTCACCTCCGTCTGTCACTTTGCGCCTCTTTTGTGTGGCGAAAACAAACGCACCGGCGTTCTGGCCAAGATTGGACTTGGGAATGGGAATGGGATTGAGATGGGGGATTTGGGGGGCAGAGGAGAGGAGAGGAGAGGAGACAAGCCGCCTGGCAATTCGATTAGGCCCGACGTCCATAGAGCAGACAAATGATTACATTTACAACCTTGACGCTGCAGGAGATTCTATTACGGAGCAGGGCGGCGTGGAAATGGAGTGGTTGGTAGTGGGAACGGGATATGATTCGATTTGATTGCTATCACAAAGGGCGACAAATAGCTGGCGCACACCAGCACACATTTATCACAGCATAGTCATGTGCGCATACATATGTGGGTGAACTCCTGTTCCTTTTCCTCTTCCTCTTCCGGTTCCTGTTCCCATTCCTCTGGCAGAACCCCATCTCCGCCTAATGGAATGATTGATGGCTGGCTGAGGAGCTGCAGGAGATGCTGGCTGAGCTGCCACAAATCTGACAAGTAGCGTTAAATCTGCGCCTTAAAGACCTGTAATAATAATACAACATAATAACAGGAATTTACATAATAAGCTACGTAAAATGAGAAGATAAACTGAAAATAAATTAGATACAAAACTGTTAAATATAAATAGGCCTTGAAATAAAATTAAAAAAAGGAAAAATGCAAGAAGATGGAAAAAAGTGAAATCAAAGCAGGCCTTGAAAATCAGATCCCATTTTAAGGATTTTGTTTCAATAAAACTTCAGTCTAGCTATCACACTCGCATAAGAAAGTTCTCTTTCCTAAACTGAGCCCAATTTTTACCGAACATTTTATTCACATTTTCAACTTTTTACATCAAAATCAACAAGTAAAAATAAAAAAATTTCAAAACAGTTGGCAGTCCGCAAGGCAAAGTTCTAGTTCGATAAATTGAATTTGTGCACCCATCTGGCATCACTGCCGGAAAAGCACATTTTTCTACATATTGGCAACCCGTTTGTGCCATTTTGAAATATAGCTACGAAATATATTTGTGTTATTTAAATATTTGAAGTGATTAATATAGCCAAATAATTGTTCTGTTTTTGTAAAATTATTTCAAAGTTTCAAATCGTTAAGTTGGCTTGGAGCTCTATTTGTCCTGCCACTGTTTTTTTTTTTGTTGTGACTCAACGTTTGCGCATGCGCCACGAGCTTGAATTTCCGCGAATACCTCAAATAGTTTCCTGGAATTTCATCAAATCAGCAGAAATGGTAAGCAATGAGGAGAAAAAAGCTGTGGCAGTATTTATAATAATTTTTAATATATTTAATATTAAAGCCGAAAAGAAACGATCTACGTGGGGTCACGAAGGCAAAGAACCGCCTTCCCAAAAAGATAAAACACGTGCCGCCAATAAGTGAGCTGCCCCGAATTCTTCCCTGGAAGAAGACTGCGCAGAAAAGCGTGTCTGAACCTCTGCTGACCATGCAGGTTCCCAGGCTCAGCCTGAGCATGCCCCACATTGAGGCGCCACAATTGAACCCGGATGATGCCCCGGGATGCAGTCGTCACCTTTGCGGGGAATTCAAGGAGAATAGTTACCCGAATGGGACTCAGGCTGGGAAAGTCTCGGATGCCCATCAGTTGCATCTGGCCTATCTGAAACACTGGCGCTCCCGCTGGAATCTGGCCATGAGCGACCTCGGCGATGTTCAGGAAAGTCCGTTAAATGGACTCCACGATATGCTGCCACTGACTTCGATTGATGAACTGACGATGTCGATGTCGCAGGACCCTGTTTGTTCCACAACTATTGGATTCCATAAGGAGGTCCCAATGGGCAGCTCCACTCCCACCAATTTTATCGCTACCAATACTCGGGCTTATTCCGTTGAGAACGTCCTCTCGGGTGGTGATCCCATGTGGGGTTCCAGTAGTGGACCCCTGGCCAGCACGGTTGGGGCTCCTCACACAGCGGGTGAAAGTCTCCAAAGCTCTTGGCACAGGGACAACCTGTGCGATCTTTCCTTGAGCGAGTTCAGGGACCTAGCCGCTTTCGAGGACCCGAATGCAATCAGTAGCGAATTGGAGCGTTTGCGGCACGTGGAGGCGATCTGCAAGCGTCTCAGGGGCATCGAAGTGCAGGGGAACACTGGCCTGGTGCAGGAACCCGTTTCCTACGAGGAAATCTTCGATGTTTTGGGCATTCAGGAGAATAAGGAACAGCAGCAGCAGCAGCAACAGCAGCCTCAGCTACAAGCTATTGATTCAGCTTTTGAATCCATTTACATCACGGACGACGATGAAGGGGCACTCGAATTCCCTGCTGATGTTTCCGGCTATATGCCTCCTTCAGGAGTGACCAGTTCCGGCAAGGAGAATGCCATGACAGATTGGACCGATTCCGAAGACGAGGAAAATTGTCGTCCAGGAAGGCGCATAACGGTGACAGCGTGTATAGAGAATATTGGTCGCTTCGAGTCCAGCTCGGAAGATACCCAGTCTGAAGTCGATGTGGAGGAAGTGTCCCACAACGAATCCGCCTCTGATTGGTCATTGCTAAACGACAAAGATTCCGACACGGAGACCGACTAGCCAACGATTTCATCCATTGTAATGTTGATTTTAATTTTCTTCAAAATTATTAAATAAAATTTCGAGTCTGCAGTAAAGATTTCAGTTTACAAAGGACATTGTTTAGTATTGTATTTTATTGGACTTTGGCATTCGTAGAGGTATGAGAATTCTGAAAGTGTCTTAGTTGCTGTGGATGTGCGGGAAAAGCCCATCCTAATCCGATGCCCCAAACTCATGTATATCTTTTGCAATCCCCCACAGGACATTCCGCTGCACGTGGCATTGATCTCGCACATCCTGATCGCCTGGGACCGGATGCGCTGGCTGAACGATCCGCTGAAGGGCCGCCTGCCGGGATTCGTCTGCTGCTGCGCCACCTGGCTGACCGGAATGGTGATTGCCCTGCCCTATCCCATATACACCATGTACGTGGAACTGGGGGTGAGTACTCGCTTCGGTTACGTTTAATAAAAATCAGCGAACATCCCCGAGCTGGGTTGCCAGGGATGATCAAAGCGAAGCGCACTAGACCGGAAAAGCGGAGCGGTGTCTTCCACATGTCGCATCCATGTCGTGCACATGAGCCGTTTGATGGGCATCAAGTGACAGATTCCCGGGAACGGAGTCGAGGCCTGGGACCATTCACACGGCGTCTCCTGAAACCTGGCCCGGTCTTGGCCAGTATCCCAGGCCTTGGACCGTCAACGTGGCCTGTCAACGAGCTCAGCTTGCATTTTGTTGCCAAAATATTTGGCTACCCCCTCCCCCTCCCCCCACACACCACACACCACACCTAACAGTATGGCCACAACAGCAACAAGAGACATAAATATTTATGGGCCATAAAGTGTTGCAACTTTTTGATACACTCCTCTGTGTGGGCGTACGTGTGTGGGTGTGTTAGTGTGGATGCTCACCACCCCCCACCCCCTCTGGTCTGGCACTGTGTCAAATCATCACTTGCATAAATGTATGTACGTTTGGGCACTGGCATTCCTCAACCCACCAGGCTGCATATTTTGTGAGCAGAGTTTCCCCAAAGTGAGCCAAGGTATGCCGGAAAAGACACCATCTAAAATCATACATAAAATTCTTGTTTTTGGATAGTTTTATTCGAGAGGGTCGCATTTTGGAATAAAATTCAAATTTAAATTTGTAAGCTAGTCAAAAAATGTTATAGCTTATTTACATTTAACTAAAGTATAACAAATTTGGGCCCATGCTTTACTAAATCTACTTATTATTATTACAATTCAAGAAGTGTCGCCTTTTTGGAATACATTTCAAAGGGAACAAGCTTTTTGATTTAATTTATTTATAAGCTTAATAACAACTTATGGTTATATTAATGACATTTAACACTTTTTATAGTATTTGAAAAAACGCGAAAAAAACCTGTAATAGAAATAAGTAAAACAAATGCGTTTAAACTATTCGGTTCGACCTTTTAATTCTGACTGACTTCATAAAGTTCTTATGTACTATTTAACAGCATGATATTATATTTTAATATTATTGGGTGTTTATACAAGAACTTATCATTTCAATAATTCAATTCTCCCCAAACAGTACTAACAAATCCTTAAAGGATATATCCAAAAGTTATTTTCAATACATAGTCCTTTTTTTGTAATATCATATCTAAAGTGAAAACGGAGTATTCGCTTGTTATAGTACTGACCATTATTAAACAAAATATATGTTAAAACAATACAAGATTTTAGTAACAATATAAGTTGCAGATCTGTGCGTAGGTGTTTAATTCATATAGTTAAGAAATTATGAACTATTATGCCTTGTTATTTGTTCCTTTAATCTGAATGGTCACCTTTAATCCCTGGAAACTGGCAAACATTCCCGAGTTGATTGAACCTTTGCCGGCAATTTCGTGTAATTTATTTGGCAATTCACTGATCACAAAACCTGTCGTTGCGAGTGGGGCAACAAGTGGAGCACTGCGCCGGGGGCAATCCTCCAGAGAGCTCCGGTGGTGCTCCTTCCCACCTGGCTCCTCCAACAGGCTCAGTCGCCTGTCAATAATTTCATTAATTCAATATTTGCGTATAATTTGATGGCTCCTCTCCAAGGCAACTCCCCCACTGGAAACTCCCAGGCGAAGCGGGGCTTATTATCTCAAAGGGGGGGGAGTGGGGTCGCCTGTTTGTCTGACTCCGCTGACACAGTCCCCCCATCCCCCCACCGCCACCCTCCCCACACTGTGTGTTTGCCGCAATTTATGAATATTTTAGCATTCTATTACGACGACACTCAGGTCCTTGTCTGGCCCAGATATGGGTGTATAAACAATTCCATGTGGACTCTGATTGCCAATTCACAATTTGGCAAACTGCTCCACAAATCCTCCATCCCGGCGATTGCTTCTCCGTTTAATAAGCAAAAGTTTGCCATAGTTTTCAAACCAACAAAAATAAAATGAAAAAGAAGTGCCCATTCTCAACCAGCAGCCAAAAGTCAAACACTACAAGAAAGGAAAGCTAACTTCGGGCGGAGCCGAAGTTGAAATACCCTTGCAGAACATTCTGTAAATTATGTTCTTCAAAATTATTCATATGATGCATTCTTAATACTCATAAAAAATCCCAACTTCCTAACGTTAAAAACACAAAGTAGTGGCATTTCCGATCAATCAGTTATATGGCAGCTATAGGATATAGTCGACCGATCCTTATGAAATTTGGTACGTCGGATTGGTTGGCCAAATATAAAACCCATAAAAAATCCTAACTTCCTAACTTTAAAAATACCAAAGGAATCTCCTTTCCGATCGTTCAGTTATATGGCAGCTATAGGATATAGTCGGCCGATCCGGCTCGTTCCGACTTATATACTACCTGCAATAGAAAGACAACTTTTGGGAAAGTTTCAAGCAGATATCTTTAAAACTGAGGGACTAGTTTGCGTAGAAACGGACGGACGGACGGACAGACGGACAGACGGACATGGCTATATCAACTCAGGAGGTGATCCTGATCAAGAAAATATATACTTTATAGGGTCGGAAATGTCTCCTTCACTGCGTTGCAAACTTTTGACTGAAATTATAATACCCTCTGCAAGGGTATAAAAATGAATTGCTCCGCCAGCCAGGTTCAGATGAGTTCAGTTGGGTTTGGTTTGGACCCAGTTTGGATCCAGTTTGGATCCAGTTGGCGGCTGCTCCTCGCATTCCATTCCGATGGACTCAGGCCAGAGGACCCATCGCCTCCGATTTTCAGGTGCGGGTAATAAGCGATTTCATAACTGGCCAGCGAAAAGTTTTACGTTTGTTTTTGTGTTTGGCCTGGAAAAGTGTCAGAAACTTTTCCACACAAAACAAATTGAAATTTTCCATATTTCTACGCATGCCCCTCGTGTCTGGCTACCTGGATAACTGACTGTGGCGGCTTCCCTTTGTGCGGCGGCAAATTGATTTTTTAAGTTGTCCCCAAACAAATCAGTGTGGAAAAATACAGAAATACAGAAATGAAGAAATCCCTTTACCTCCATCAAATTGGAGGTCCTGTCGCCTGCTGTCGCTGCTGCTTCTGCTGCTGCTGCTCCCAGCGATAAGAAAAAACTAAAAGGGTTTCTCGTTCCCAACTATTCTGGTTTTATTACAATATGATATCCCTGCAGCTTTGCAATCCACGAGATTGTTCGATTTATGCCTGCTGACGTGTGGCTCATTGAGCTGGGATAAGGATTTTTCAATTGTTATCAATAATTTGTATTGTATTTTTGTTCTTTTAATTATTGACCCTTTTTAATCAGATTCTATCCTCTGTAGAAAAGTAGCCAAGACTTCAAGATAAGGCCCATATTTGATCTAAAGTAACCACATTTATATGCGATATATATTCATATAAATAGTTAATTTTCCTTTATAAATATACATTTAACTGTTATTTAATTTTGTTAAATAGAATTAGAATTATTTACATTTCAACGTATTCTTTTTAACCTTTTATTAAGCTGTTCCATTTTTATTTTTTACAATTTAAAGCTTTTTTATCTCATAAGGTTAAACATATTTTATTATAAATAATTAATTATATTATTATTAATTATAAATGGAGGTTTAATTTTAAGTCTTTCGTAGATAACTCTAATTGGACTAATTAAAATAGTTATTATTGTTATTATTGTATTGGAAAAATGTACTTGCAAGCAGGAAATGTTTTTAACAATGCTTAGATTCTTGTAAGTAACGAAAAATGAAAGTGGCCACTTGAAAATCTCTGGGGACATTTATGACATGGTTTGCTGCAGTTGGAGTTGCCACCAGTACCAGTACCAGTACATTTTCAGTTTGTTGTCTCAGCGTTGGTTTTATTTTCGTACAGAGTCCTTTGAGAGACCATGGACTTGTGAGTGGCGTAGGAGAAAGTTGAGTGCCCCGAAGTTGTTCCCCTTGAACTGTGCAGCTTAAGTCGTTGTGTATGCAAGGAACACGCCTTTGTTTCGTCCTGGTCCCCTTCTATTTGGCTGCCGCTCTGCGGCTACAGTTTATTTATGTTTACTGCTCAGTTGTTGCTCCTCTCCCGCCGCTGCCTCGTTGCGGATATCCGGTTGCCGGCGTTGACTTTGGCACGCGGCGTCCCTAATCCCCTCCAGCCATTCAGCCCACCGCCCACCTCCCACCGCCCACCTCCCCATCGGTATTACCAACAGAACTTGGCCGGATATGCGCCTGCAAAACGAAAACGAAAACGAAAACGAATTTACGCCGACGGGCAAGGGGCAGAAAATTCAAGTCACTGAGCAAAAGAAACGGCTAAAGTAAACATTATCAAGTCTACAATGGCGGAATTGGGCTAGGACCTGCCCTAGGAGCGATTGGGAAAACAGCCTCAATAGATTCCCTCAACCAAAAGAAACGATTATTGGATAGTTCAGATTAAAGACAGTATTATTTAGAGGACTTTCGCATTTCTCAATTTTCAAAAGGAATTAATTTTTAATAAGATTTGTTGTGTTAGTTCTGATGGATATCTGAAATAGAGTTAAGCCCGATATAAACTTGGGTTAAAAAACTTAATAAATAAAATATGTATTTATTAAATATTTAAAGACTCCGAAAAATGTACGATAACAATGTTTAAGATTGTAGCTTTTTACCCACTACCCATTAACTTTTCCAGATATATAAAAAACAATAGTTATTTAATTACTTTAGCTATATGGCTAACTTATTTACCGATTTAGTAGTTTAATTTATAAGTTAACCAAAAAATGAGTTACATTTTATTAAGCCGCTTGAGAAAATCTATACATTCGGGGTTCCCATCTGCCATCACGTTTTGGAAGGCAAGGGCATTCAGAAGTTGGGAACTCGGCAGTGTCTTCTGCCCTCCGTTTGCCAATTTATCTGGCGCAGAAAGAAAAGAAACTTTAAATACAATCAACTGGCCCCATTTGCCTTGGCTTGGGGCTCGTTGTAA